TCAGAACTATCAGGTTAATTTTAGTGTTCAGTGAGGCATTTGTGTTTGGGCATGGGATGCTCATTCTAGAAAACAGGATTCATCAGACACATGTTAAGACTGGTTTCCACACGATCCCTACAGCCTTCTCTCAGTAGTCATAAAACAATAATAATGAATGGAAAACAGCCTTCAAGAGAGATGAGGCAAGGAAGTGCTTACTCAAGTGGAGTTTAATAGCTATTTAACAGTGGGGTGGGTACATGTACACTGTATTAAATTTAAGAAAGAGGCATTACAAGCCAGGGGATGATGACTACTATTGTTTTCTTCCATAAGGTGTCATTTACTACCTTTCTTATGATCCAGGTACAGTGAGGAAAATGGACTCCAAACAACTCAGGACAAGGATTATATACACGCACTTCAGGCCATGCATTAAGTAAATCAAGTTTTACTTGATTCACTTAATGCATGGCCTGATTCATTTAATGCACTTGATGATGCATTGATGATTTACTTGATGATCATCACTTTGATGATGCATTGATGATTTCACTTAACACACTTCTAGCGGCCGCTATCACATACCAACACTTCTATACTTGAAGAGTCAGAATAAATGGACACAGAACAAAACAAAGTTACACACCTGTCCTACAACAAATCCAAGACGTAAAAACAGAATGACTGAAAACATGGACAGTGTAACTGGAACCACAACACCAAAGAATGTTGACAACTTCTTCTTATTGCTTTCAGCTTCTAACAAAAACAAATGGAAAGGAAAATGACATTCCTAGATGATGAACCAGTTGTTATGAAGTACATGTATGGCTGTCAATTAATTGATTTGTTTTAATATTGTCTAAGGTATATGCAGATTGTAGATCCAGTACAGTGCAGTTAAGATGACAGCATGAAGACTGCTTGATAATGACATGACTCTGGACGGACGGTTAGCTGCTTTCTTAGAAAAAAAATGCTTTGTTTTTTTCACACTGCGATGCTCACAACAATAAAATAATAGTAATTACTGGTATTATTATCTCCTATCAGCTGTTATGCACGTTACATGCCATATTAGAAATATTTGTTGTGGTTGTTTATGCACAGTGTATTAATTTATTACTTTTAGTTTCAGATTCTGAGTTAGAGTGGCAGATACCATTCATTCGGCATCTTCCTTTGCATTGGGCATCAGAGTACGGATAGGCTCAGGGATTCTTTGACCTGAAATTATGCTTATTTATGTTTAAACATGGTCTTGTACATGCATGTACTATGGACAGCATAGATTGTGGCTAAGGTTTTGAAAGAATCCTTTTTTTAATTACCCAGTACTTCCGTTCAGGGAAAAATTACATGTACAGCTCTGTGGATTTCCCTAAGCAGTCTAGTAGCCTATACTCTACTTTTTATCAGCAGTGGATGCTCATGCATTGAAAGCACTGTTTTTAAAAAACAACATAAAATAAGCCATTACTTATTAATTTATTTCACACCCATTCAGTAAATCATTATTTTTTTGATAAACAAATAAAGCTGCTTTCAAATTACAGTTCGAAAGAAAAACAAACCCTACTCCTTCCATCAATTTCTAAAACAATGTATTTAATTTCACCACTGAGTTTCCAATGAGATCATGACCTTGACATGCATTTTACAGACAAGCTGGTTTCAACATGACATTCAGTGTAGCCAGTTTGAGTAGCATGTACAATAGTAAATTCACAAATGCACATGTTACAGGTAAAATTTGATTTCAGGTTAAATTTTTTTTAACCTAGTACAGTACAGCCCAAAATAATAATGCACGTGCAAAAACTTATTTTTGCATCCACACAACGTGCTGGCATCTTCTTGTGGCTACTTGTGGGGCACTTGTGCTTGAATTCTGCAAGACACAAGAACTTCTTTTGTGGTTAGAAATTTAAACCACAAGAAGTTCTTTGCAGAAAGATACAACACACAATAGAAAATTGACACGATCCAAACAATCGAAACGTTCAAAACTATAGATTGTTTTATTAAACAAACGCTTCACACACTTTATCTTAAACTTTGAAGGATGGAAGTGTTCACTTTGCAGAAAAAGCAGGGAAGGCACTGGTCACTTTCTTAGGCAACTTTTTTACGTGTGCACTTGCATGATTATCTCTTGCTGCTACAGAGTAAATTATCGGCTGGAAAAATATTCAACAGTACAAAAGATGTTCGAATAAAAAGGCGAAAAACACCACAAACTTTGTCCAGGTGAACACAGTGGTGTACAAGTACTTATAAACAACTTTTTTTCCCTTTTTGGGGCTTGTGGTAATTGTTGTAGCTTCTTGCGTTAAAGATTTTTGACTTCTTGTGTTTCGAAGTTCTTGCAAATAAACCACAAAAGTATGGCACTTTTGCTTGCGTGTTCTTGTGGCGCAACTACTTCTTGCACAACTTCTTGTGTGTGCATTATTTTTGGGCTGTACTGTAGATTGAGAATCAACTTAGGTTAAATCAAAATTAACCTGAAAACAAATTTGACCTGTCACATACTACATCCAATGGCCTCTTGACATGAACAATGCATTTACCTTCTCTTTCTGCAGGAAAACTCCTTAGTAGCAGATGTTCTTGGCCAGTAAAGCAAGTCAGTGGTTGGGATTTCTCATCATTGTTCACAGAGAAACCTCATTGTGATATAAAAATGCTGTTTTTATTAGGTGCTCAGGTTATATTTAAAGGGAATAGTAAATGCAGTGATCACAAGAGTGCACTAATAAGTTACAAGTTAAAAACAAGTTGGAAATGTATGCAGGTTCTTCTCAATAAAACGCATCATTATGCACATGTATATCCTGCTTAGAACGGATTGCAGGATATTGATCAAGATCGACCATGGACTAGTGATGATTGTAGAGACTGATGAACTAAAAAATAGCCCCTTTTTTGACAGGGATTTTCCATTTTTGTCCTTTAGAAAAGTCAAAAAAATAACTTGAATAGAAGTAGAAGCTTAACAAGAGGCTAGCTTCTACTTACACATATTATTAACACTACATGTGTGCTGTAGTCTAGGGCACTTTCTATTTGTCAGAACTGAGCGGCCAGACCATTCCTGTCATGGTGAGAAATTCACTTTTGATCATAACTATTCAGTTAGATCAGACAAATTTTAAATAGTAGGCACTAAGGAAAGAGTTTTTCAAGAAAAACGTTTTGAAAAAGCATTTTTTTTTGTCAAAATGACTTGTTCGGCCATGATCGGGCCGGCCAGTTCTGACTTTTTGACTAATATTAGACTACCACTCTAAATTCGAGATTGCTCCGAAACTCTCCAAAAATTAAGAAAACGTTTATTTATTTTACGAGGAAAATTTAAAACAAATCATATGATAAGAACTCTTTTTTCTTTTATTTAAACAGGCGGTTTGAATTTACGAGAACAAAATGTTATTCTACAATTTGTTTTAAATTTTTTTCTTAAAATGAGAAGTCTCGAATTTAGAGTGTACAGCATCCATTTTGTAGACGAAGGTCCCAGTCAAGGATTCAATTCAATCCAAGGCCCGTCAGCCTTTAAGTTCATCTTTTTGTCGATTTCTTTTAATTAACAACTTAAAAACCAGTTGACGGGATAAGGAGTCAATTAGTAAACGGTGTCAGTTCCAGCTTTAGTAAAAGGTGAGGGCCAGTGCTTTGGTTTTGTACGTCTTCTTCTTTTTTGACCACACCATTCATACATACCTCTACCATCCATGGAGCACAGAACACTATGACTTTCCACCGAAACATCTTCGCAAGACGAAGCAGAAGGAAGCAATGTATACCTTCCTACTGATGGTCTCATAAAAGATGCCATGATGTCGGAAAACAGGAAAAATCCAGTCGACAACCGACGATAGCCGTACCTACTCGATGTGGAAGAATGAAGGCAGGAAACAGTTCCTGGTGCGTCATGTAAGCCTACGCATAATATCGCGTTACAATGTTCAGTTTGTAGTGCCAGACTCTCGCAGTTTTCAATATGGCAAGCTGAACAACTTAGATCAACCCATAGATAAATCTAGGAACAAGGCATTTAGCGGAAAAGGTGAATATGCCGCAGTTATTTTTCTTTTGTTCTTTGTTAAAGCTGTTCAAAGTTCTTATTTCCAAAAAATCGTACTAACCCTTGATCAAATTGAAGTAATAAGAAAACTTTTTCAAGCTTTCTATTTAGACTCCCCTCTTAATTTGAATTGTGGGGCAAGTTACTGGTCAAGCTCAAGCTTAATTATTAAATATTTAAGCTTAATCAATACTATCGTTTAAATAAAAAGTAACCGATAAGCTGACATTTTTTTTCCCTGCAATGCAAGCTTTTCCTTTTAGGGTTTGATGGCAGTTTCAAAAACTGGCGATGAGCCCATGCTTCTATTATAATATTGTTATTTGGGTTTGATTCAACACCTTATATATTCCTGTATTGTTATTTCCTGTACTGCAATGATCATTAGTAACCTTGCCAAATTTATAAGTAGAAATTTTTGTAGCTAAGAAAACTGCTGTACCTGTTACATGACTCATGCCCCTCCCCCCCCCCCACAAACTAACCCTGGCAGGAACACAATCACCCCAGGGGGATCTATTAATCAGAGTCATCAGACTCTTTTGTCAGTGGATGATTAAGGACACAGGGAAGTAGATTTGGAGTCTGGGAGGAATAAACTAGATTAAACCCAATACAAGAGAACAATGAAAATTGAGCTTACTGCTTTTGGTGGCCATCCAATAACCTTTACTGGCCACTTGAGCTCATTCCATGTTTTCTGCTGCTCTTTAAAGGAAACAAGTTTAAGCCTGGTGCTCATACTCTTCCTTACAATATTGTCAGGTCTGTAATTCCTGCATAAAAATGAAATTCACTCTCATTCTTTGGTTTTACCACATAGATCTATAGTGAGACTTGATATAAATAATTATTGGGCTAGGGTGTTGGGACTGTCACCTTATATTTTCAACCTTAGTTGTTTTCCCTTGTTTTTGTTTTTGCTAGTGTATGATAAGAATTTTAAAACAAGCTCTCAAACAAAATATACAGATTTATACACAAGATGGGATGGTCAATACATTGGAGGAAAACAGCTTGAATGATGATTGCTCAACTAAGAAGTTTAAGACATCTTCATCTTCGCTGTCTGCACCTCTATCATCCTCGACACTATGTGGCTAGTGACCAATCACTTAAGCCTATATATAAGGCTGTTGCTTTTGACATGGGAGGGGTGGTGATTCCAACACCCCTACCTATATTCAATCAGTTTGAAGATGATCATGGTCTCCAGAGAGGCTCTATTGTCTCGGCAATCAAAGCTGGTGGAGAGAGAGGTAATTAAGAGCATTTGGTAAGAAAATTTAGTCTACTCTCTCTAAGACCCATACATGAGTGCTGGTGTCCACTTTATCTTTTTTTAAAACATTTACCAGAAATTACAAAATAATGCAACACTATGACTTACAATAATGTTATGATTAAGTTCACATTATCTACGTAGTAGAATTATACAGTCAACTCTCTCTTAACCCTTTCACTGCCAATTTTAGCCAAAAGCAAATTTTGACCAAATTTCCAGATTTCATTTTGCGAAATTTTGAAAAATAAATTATAGCAACATGTGTAAGTACAGGCAGAGAGCTTTCATTTGAATGGTCACAACAAAGGATTTTGTCCACATACTCAAAAGTTAGAGTCACCTTTAAAAGACTCCATCAAGTACTCTGGCAGTGAAAGGGTTAACCCTGTAACTCCCAAGAGTGACCAACATCAGTATTATTTTTTCTCCTAACAATGTCTATACATAANCCTATATTCAATCAGTTTGAAGATGATCATGGTCTCCAGAGAGGCTCTATTGTCTCGGCAATCAAAGCTGGTGGAGAGAGAGGTAATTAAGAGCATTTGGTAAGAAAATTTAGTCTACTCTCTCTAAGACCCATACATGAGTGCTGGTGTCCACTTTATCTTTTTTTAAAACATTTACCAGAAATTACAAAATAATGCAACACTATGACTTACAATAATGTTATGATTAAGTTCACATTATCTACGTAGTAGAATTATACAGTCAACTCTCTCTTAACCCTTTCACTGCCAATTTTAGCCAAAAGCAAATTTTGACCAAATTTCCAGATTTCATTTTGCGAAATTTTGAAAAATAAATTATAGCAACATGTGTAAGTACAGGCAGAGAGCTTTCATTTGAATGGTCACAACAAAGGATTTTGTCCACATACTCAAAAGTTAGAGTCACCTTTAAAAGACTCCATCAAGTACTCTGGCAGTGAAAGGGTTAACCCTGTAACTCCAAAGAGTGACCAACATCAGTATTATTTTTTCTCCTAACAATGTCTATACATAATGAAGAAAAAAATTGTAACGAGAATGAATAAAATGATTACCAAAGAGAACATGCTTTGATCTTTTATCAAATTCTCTCAACTAATTCTGTAAGGAAATGTATGGAGACCAGCCTGGAGAATTTGTATGTGGATATTGGGGCTAAAATGGTTAACAGAAACTTCTCTAACATGCAACTCCAGATTGGTTTCTGTTGTTCTAATCTTTAGTCATTGATTTTTGACTCCTTGCAAGAGGTGCATCTGGACTAAAATGGACTCTTACCCATTAGTGACAGTTCCGGAGGCTTTGACTGGGTATATGTTACAGGACGGTCAAAGTAATATTCAGGTTAAAATTATTTAATCTGGGTTGATTCTCTATTTCCTTTTTTTCATAGCCCTAATTATTCATGAATTAGGGCTAGGAGACAAAGGGAATTGAGAGTCAACCTAGGTCAAATCAAAATTAACCTGAAATCAAATTTGACCTGTAACATGTATATTGACTAACCTGTCCAAAAAAATTACAAATTCCTCTTATTTTATATTAAAGGATTTTTTTACTTGGTAGAAACTATTCATTCATCGTCAGACTTGACTTAAGACACCTCTCTAGTGCAGGCAGTTAGTGCTATTCTATTCCCAAAGGTTTCTGCATGTTTTATAGAGAGATTTTGAGTCTGACTATAAAATTATTTTGTTCTTGCAGGTGTCTGGGCACAGCTGGAATGTGGTCGTCTATTGCCAGAGGAATTTGCCAGGAAATTTACAGAAATCCTTCAAACGATGACACATCAACCAGTGGACATGGGAGCTCTATTACCAAGCATTCATAAAGCAATGATTGAACCATATCCTGAAGTGCTGACAGCTATCCAGTGCATAAGGGCAGAAGGCCTCAAGACAGCTTTGATTACAAATAACTGGTGGTTGGAAGAGGGAAGATCGTTTTTGCCAGTTGACAAGAAATATTTTGACGTGGTGAGAAACTTTTGAATTGACTCACTTTTATACCCCTGGCCATTACTTTGAACATTATTTTGACCGTTGACTTGATTGTTCCTGTTATCCGACTTTTCTTTTAGCAAGCTAGTTTAAGTGGCAGATCCAGACTTTGAGCTAAATGACGGGCCTGCTGATCTCAGAAATATTTTTATTCTTTCTGAACCACACAGGCTTTGAGTTTTTTCTAAAAACAAGATGCAGGTGTGACCCCCCCGAGGCCCCTCCCCTAGATCTGCCACTGCTAGACAAGTGTATACCTGTGATAACATAAAAATTATACAAATTCTTCTAGTACAGACATTATGAAACAGCTATATTATTTATAATACTCTCTGTTACAACTCCTACCCCTCTCAGAATTGTTGGCATTTTTTATCCTGGTTTTCACCCTTTAAACAAACCCTCTGGATTAGTGGGCTTGCTCCATGTGATACAAACCAACACCTTTATTGCTGATAATCCACTTGCGTAATATTGGCTTATAGCTTACCCACTGGAAAACCATGACAAAGGAACTTGTGTCAGACCACCCTGTTTCTGCTGTGATCATTACTGATTAACTCCTGCTCCTACATCCCACGTAATTGTCAATGGCATTTTATTATTACAAATCATGAAGTTTTAACTGAAAAATTTTCTTGTGCTTAATTTGATCTCAAGGTAGTAGAGTCAGCAATTGAGGGAAAACGGAAACCAGACGAACCAATTTATCTCAAGTTGCTAGACCAACTCAAACTGAGTCCTGCAGAGGTGGTTTTTCTTGATGATATTGGCAGTAACGTGAAGACTGCTAAACACCTGGGTTTCCAGACGATTAAGGTAGACTATGATGGAGGAAAAGCAATGTGTGTCCCTTGCCATTATTACATGATATTTAAACATTTTCATCTGTGAATTAGGTTGATGATGTCAAGGTTGCTTTGGGTGATTTGGAGAATTTGCTGCATTTTCCTTTGAAAGGTATTCAAAACGCTTTATAAAAGGCGGTATAAAAGACCTGTATTGTGAAATGAAACATTAATAATTTAATTTACAGCTGAAGGATAACAGTTCATTATCCAATGTTACTAACACTAACCCTATATCTCACCAAAGCCTGGTCCTACTGGTACTTTCTCGGGGTTTAAGATTTCCAGACAATTTTAGTCTTTTGGCAAAATAGTTTGGCAAGCAAATTAACTTATAGGGATAAAGTGTTTAGAGGCCACCAGTAGACAACCAGATCATTGACTTCTCCAGGATTTAAAATAAATTTTCTTTGCTTTGTAGGCTATGTTCCCGGTACTACAGCAGTTCGTAAAGTTCACCAGATCCCTGCTGACTCTCTTACAAGGTATCTGCAAAATGAAGTGGGGCTACATCAAGAAGGTGACCATTATTATAATTTTCAAAAACTATGCACATGTCCTTCTGTTCCGGCCCACAGCAATTATTAAAAAACGTGTTTTTAATACCATTAATTTTTCCAAATTCCCAAATTGTCAACTTTCCTCGTGGCTGATAACTGATACATTTTACATCGCCATTAGAACAAAGCACAGTTATATTCAACCTTTTGGGGCATTGGAGTGTACAATGATCCCCTTTCTTAAGAAATTTTATCATGGGAGTGGCCAAGAGTAGAGGAGGCCATATAGTTCACTGGGGTTTTGATCTACTGTACAAGGGCTTGAAGGTTTGAAATATTACCTGTAAGTACCTTCACAGGTATGCTTAATAAATAAATGTGTAAATGTGTGATTTAATTAGAGTTTGGAGTTATACCATTCCATGGTGCACTTTGAAAGTAGGGGGCGAACTCATTGGTGAGACAGCATTTCGCGGGGTTTTATTTTCCCGATTTCAACAGCCAGATATGAAAAAGGGCATTAAATTTCGCGATTTCGCATTCTCGACTTAATTTTAGTTTTCAAAAAGTCTGAACATATTAAGAATTTCTAGATAGACTGGAACAAGCAATGTGTGAAATCTTTGCAAATTAAGATAGCAGTAAAACCAGTAAACAATTTGCGTATTTGTCGATACATATCCTGTATATGTTGTTGCTATAACATGTTAATAAATTTTTCTGTGTTTCTACAAGGATATTAAAATTTTGTGTGTGTAAATTTCGCGAAGGTTTAAAAACGCGGGTCTTTAATTTCGCCATTTTTTGGCAATCGCGAAAAAAAAAAGCGCGAAATTAAGTACCGATAAGGTAACTTTTTTTGTGTCCCCTCTGAGTCAGATTTATTCAGTTTGTTATTGATAACTTTCAGAGCCTCCCATCATTCGACAGTTTAAACATGGCCAGTCCAATCCTACGTACTATGTGGAGTATGGAGGGCAAAGACTAGTGATCAGGAAAAAACCTGTAAGTGTTTTAATGGGGGGTTATATGCTTTTGGTTAAAGACGTCGGTAATGGTCTATTGGCCACTGGTTGTGATGTATTGGCCTGATGTTATTTTTTTCTGAAGTTACATATGAACGTAAGCTAGGTTGCGAACATTAAACAATTATTGGATGAGGTTTTTGTGATATCCAAAATAATCAAGGTCGAGGTAGGGATTATCAGCCGAAGCCGAAGGTGAGGCTGATAACCCTTACCGAGACCTTGATTATTCTGGATATCACAAAAACCGAATCTAATAATTGTTTTATTATACATTGAACGAATCCTTTCTTTCTCGCTTCGACATAAAATGTTTTCAAAGTTTGTGCCAACTCTTCCTTTTCCTCAGGTTCTGTCAGTTTTTTCTCTTACACGTAATCAGCAAACAGCCCCTTTGCCACCTTCGTTGACCTTTTTGTGTTTGAGAGTCCTTGTCTTCAACTACTTTTTTGATGTCTTGCTCGGTCAACGAAGCAAACGTGGAAGTCATGTTTTTGCTTCTTCACTGACGGCAAGCAACACAAAGCNTTTATTATACATTGAACGAATCCTTTCTTTCTCGCTTCGACATAAAATGTTTTCAAAGTTTGTGCCAACTCTTCCTTTTCCTCAGGTTCTGTCAGTTTTTTCTCTTACACGTAATCAGCAAACAGCCCCTTTGCCACCTTCGTTGACCTTTTTGTGTTTGAGAGTCCTTGTCTTCAACTACTTTTTTGATGTCTTGCTCGGTCAACGAAGCAAACGTGGAAGTCATGTTTTTGCTTCTTCACTGACGGCAAGCAACACAAAGCGCACGAACTTGACATGATTACCCATAGAAATCATGCACCGCGGTCATACATGACATGATTACCCGTGACCTTGAGTGTCCTTGACATGATTATTGTATAATCTGCAGCTAGATGACGTCTCAGGTGCTGATTTCAAAAATTCACTGTACGCTTTCGGCCAATCAGAAAAGAGATAGTGAGTTGAATGTATAATAATATAATTTATCCGGAATGACCCACAGTTGACTCCGGATAACTCGAACCAAAGTCGATTTCCCCTGGATTTCCTTTATACATTTACTGTAATTCTACCCTCGGTAACTCGAACCCTCAATATCTTGGACCTCCCGCTAACTCAAAGTAATAACAATGCTTATGGATAAAACTGGCGTGAAACTGACTCGTCCCCAGTCGTCTCTCATTATTAGTCTTTGGCGTGGAAGACTAGAACGGGCTCTTTAACGAAGGGGATATCTTCCCCCCGCGCAAAACCCAAGTGCTTCCTTAGTAAATATTTAATGAGTAGAGACGACTGGGGACGAGTCAGGGCGTGAAACTACTTATTTTTGAGTAGAAGTAATAAACAGTAAACGACAATTAAGGGAAAAACTTGGTCACGTGGTACAAATCCACGTTTGCCGTTTGGCGTGAACTTGAATCTTAATCTCTCTATCATTAAAAAGACGTGTAGTCTTAAAGGTGATGTTACACGGGACGATTCGCAACGACGATTTTTAGCGCAACACAGCGTCGCAATGTTGGAACAATGTTGTAGTCATTCGAAACAATGTCGCAACAATGTTGCAACGCTGTGTTGCGCTAAAAATCGTCGTTGCGAATCGTCTCGTGTAACATCACCTTAAAAGTACAGGTCATCTAACAACACGCATGTCTGACATCATAGCCTGGGAAGCTTCTACCCTCTGCGCATGCTGTGNTTAAAGACGTCGGTAATGGTCTATTGGCCACTGGTTGTGATGTATTGGCCTGATGTTATTTTTTTCTGAAGTTACATATGAACGTAAGGTAGGTTGCGAACATTAAACAATTATTGGATGAGGTTTTTGTGATATCCAAAATAATCAAGGTCGACGTAGGGATTATCAGCCGAAGCCGAAGGTGAGGCTGATAACCCTTACCGAGACCTTGATTATTCTGGATATCACAAAAACCGAATCTAATAATTGTTTTATTATACATTGAACGAATCCTTTCTTTCTCGCTTCGACATAAAATGTTTTCAAAGTTTGTGCCAACTCTTCCTTTTCCTCAGGTTCTGTCAGTTTTTTCTCTTACACGTAATCAGCAAACAGCCCCTTTGCCACCTTCGTCGACCTTTTTGTGTTTGAGAGTCCTTGTCTTCAACTACTTTTTTGATGTCTTGCTCGGTCAACGAAGCAAACGTGGAAGTCATGTTTTTGCTTCTTCACTGACGGCAAGCAACACAAAGCGCACGAACTTGACATGATTACCCATAGAAATCATGCACCGCGGTCATACATGACATGATTACCCGTGACCTTGAGTGTCCTTGACATGATTATTGTATAATCTGCAGCTAGATGACGTCTCAGGTGCTGATTTCAAAAATTCACTGTACGCTTTCGGCCAATCAGAAAAGAGATAGTGAGTTGAATGTATAATAATATAATTTATCCGGAATGACCCACAGTTGACTCCGGATAACTCGAACCAAAGTCGATTTCCCCTGGATTTCCTTTATACATTTACTGTAATTCTACCCTCGGTAACTCGAACCCTCAATATCTTGGACCTCCCGCTAACTCAAAGTAATAACAATGCTTATGGATAAAACTGGCGTGAAACTGACTCGTCCCCAGTCGTCTCTCATTATTAGTCTTTGGCGTGGAAGACTAGAACGGGCTCTTTAACGAAGGGGATATCTTCCCCCCGCGCAAAACCCAAGTGCTTCCTTAGTAAATATTTAATGAGTAGAGACGACTGGGGACGAGTCAGGGCGTGAAACTACTTATTTTTGAGTAGAAGTAATAAACAGTAAACGACAATTAAGGGAAAAACTTGGTCACGTGGTACAAATCCACGTTTGCCGTTTGGCGTGAACTTGAATCTTAATCTCTCTATCATTAAAAAGACGTGTAGTCTTAAAGGTGATGTTACACGGGACGATTCGCAACGACGATTTTTAGCGCAACACAGCGTCGCAATGTTGGAACAATGTTGTAGTCATTCGAAACAATGTCGCAACAATGTTGCAACGCTGTGTTGCGCTAAAAATCGTCGTTGCGAATCGTCTCGTGTAACATCACCTTAAAAGTACAGGTCATCTAACAACACGCATGTCTGACATCATAGCCTGGGAAGCTTCTACCCTCTGCGCATGCTGTGGAGAGAGAATACAAGTGAGTTTAGCTTGCATGCAGGCTCCAACTGATATCCAATGGATACATATCTTTCCAGTGGATAATGCAGTTGTTTACCCTGATAGTTATTCACTGAATAGCGAATTTTCAGCTGGATAGCGCTATCCACGTTATGAACACTGATCATGTGTAATTCTGATTATCTCAGGAGTGAACGGTATTCATACTGGTAGTTTACACAGCATCCAGCTAGAACTAAAGTAATTTCAGAACATTAACATCCGAACGTAACTTACCTTATTTTTTTGATATGAATTCCCACTGCCCAATGAAAGCCTATAAAAATTTACCTATCAATTCTCCCCGTGGCGCAACAGTTGTTGTACCTCTTGTGACATTTTTGGTAGTGTTACCACTTGCATAAATGCTCTAATTGGCGCCCTTATTCGAATAAGCATTCCCCCACCCCACTAAGCCCTTGACACCCGTCCTTACTGAATATACTGTATGCAGTATGTTTATCTTATGGATATAGCATGATATGTTTAATCAGTAGAGAACGACGCATGTCGTGGCCGAAATTCTGACGAATGAAATACTGTAACTACACCTCTAGTCGACTCAACAACTAAAATTAAAAACGCGCTGCGGCGGCAATGTGAGCGTTTACGGTAAATGGTGTCTTTGAAAAACAAGTTATCAAACAAGTTAAAAGGCCCCATCCATTCCCATTCGCTTTGATTTAGTACATGCCTCAATTCTATATTTTTTTTGTTTTCGCTTTCTGGGAGTTAAACTTACCTAAAAGATTTCCTTTTATACGTGAAGGGGAATAAATGCCTTGGTTTTCGTACATGGCAAACTATTAAATATAAAGATGATCTTCTCTAAAGTTAGAAAGTTATACGAAAGTGCTTCTTTTTTAGGGTAATGAAGGCGCTTGGTTCTGCTGGAGTTCCTGTTCCAAAAACTTTAGCGCTGTGCGAAGATAGCAGGTGAAATATCTAATCATGAATTGACTTCCGTGCGACTCTTTATTGGACATTTTTGCTTTTTTTGGACATTTACCTGCGTTTAGTTATAGGGTATAAAATAGTAATTTGCGAAAAAGAGTTTGCTCTGTGCTAACCCTTAGCGTACAGCGTACTATACCCTTCGTTATGACAGTCTTCTCCTCACTGTGTATCCTTAAGAAGTAGCGAATTTTGTGCAAAATTTGATAGTTCAAAAGCACAGCTTACTGTATTCTGCAAAGTTTCACAGAAAGTCTGGCTGGAAAATCAAATTTTCAGGGCATCTTTTTGGTAAGCTTCAGAGAATGTCGGCTGTCCTTTTAAAGTTCGGCAACTATTCTGTTTCAGTAAGCACCGACGGCCTACGAAATGCGCCGGCTACTTTGCTCAGAGAAGTCGGCTACTTTTTTCTACAAAGAAGACGTAACTAGTCTACTTTGAATAACGTCGTAACCAAAAAATGCATCATAAAGTCTGAATGAAAACGCAATTATATGTTTCCATAAAGGCCCACTGGTTTATACTTTAGTCATGTGAACGCTATATTTCAGTCATTTTTTCCCAAGTTTCTTTACGTAGAATTTGTTTACGTGCAAAAGTACGTAATTTAGATTTCATCATTTGTTCTGTGGCTGATAGATCGAAAGTTGAATGAATTAGCTGCATTGTCTTGAATGAAAACAAGAACCACGCTCTTTTGTCCTCAATTTATTCCCCATAATGCTGGAAATGGCATTTTAGGGCTTTGAATTTCAAAATTTTCTAAGGGAGCATGCCCCCAGACCCCCCTAGAAAAAGGGAACTTGTTTATACAGTCGGTAACTCTATTCAAACCCGCTGGCTACTTGTATTTGTATATGAAACCCCTGCTGTTTAGTGTCTCTAATTGATTTGGATATACTTTGTCGCTGGTCCATCTTCTACCAATTCAAATTTAACTGTTGAATGATTTTTCACGAGATTTTTCCTCGGGTTGTTTGTGTTAATGGAATTCACACGAAAACTCCCAGTCCAAACGTTGGAGTGCGCACGAACCTCGCTCCTAAAGGTGACTTGTTGTTAATCTCTCTGTAGTGTTTTGGGGACGCCGTTTTACGTTATGGAGTATGCCAGAGGACGCTTGTTCAAAGATCCATCCTTACCCGGCGTGACAGCAGAGGAGAGGAAGGTGAGAGTTGAAAGGGTGGGGGGAGGGGAGTTCATTCGAGAACTAATACAGTGGAACGAAGGGCCAGTTCAAGGGACTAGCAAAATATGTTCGCTTTAACGAACTTTCGTCATATCGAGGTTCTTTTGCATTTATTTTACTATTTTTGAGGCAAAGAAAATCGTTCGTTATACCGAGGACTTCTTTATATGGAGGTTCTTTATATCAGCGTTCCACTGTAGACGTCGTTGTTTATAAACACGCATACAAATTTATGCGTTTAGCGCTTCCGTCCTCTTCTTAACGATTTGAAACTGATAATTACTTTTTTAGACTTTCTCCAGAGTAATATAGTTTGTAAACAGATAAATACCTGAGTTTGCATTCGTTTAGAAGCGTCAATGGATTCCGACACTTCTGAAGCAGGAGCTTCCTCCTCCACAAGCTTTTTTCCCATGACATGAGCGAGGAGCGCGGACGTCAAAGTGGGGAGCTGGAGACGAGCGAAAACAGGGCCTTGCTCTTTCGCTGAGGCTGTCGCCGGGTTTTTCTTTGTTTCCCCACTCCTCAGTCTCCCTGTGACTCAAAGAAGCCTTTGAGGAGGAGAGAGAGAACAAGTTCCCTGTCATGTCACGCGATTTCGTGCTCTTATTTGCTTCTTCGTTTGAATATTTTTACCTTCGCTGCAAACAGACTTCACGGAGATTTCAGGATCGTAAATTATTCATATTTGTGCAGAAATGTTCTGTTGTATTAAGGCTCTGGCAACCTTGAATTCGAAAGCATACATTGCCGGACCAGGTCGTCGCGTAATGAAACTGTGTATCTTTACCGCCGACATTTTTTTTCTCGTCCATGTTTATGAAGATAATGTTACAACTGAAAAAAAAAAAAACATGAAATTAAACTGTGCAAAAGTTTGATTAATTCTCTACCGCGCGGTGTACGCATAAACCAAAGAGTATGTTTGTTATTTGGGAGGGGGGGATATGATGTTTTTCGTTTACTCTGCAAAAGTTTGGATGGTTTTTGACTCATCTTTTTGGTTGTTTGTTTGTAATTTTGCAGGAAATTTATCACGCAATGAACGAGACACTCCATAGGATTCACAATGTTGACATTGATGCGGCGGGTTTGGGAGACTTTGGAAAAAGAGGCAAGCTCTGTGGTCCACTGTAGTTTTCAGCTGTACACTTAGAAAACGCCAGGGGTTATTTGAAGACCCCGGCTGGTAGTCAGACTGGGGTTCGAACACGAGACCTTAAGCATGTCAAAGAGATCGGCACTCCCCCCCCCTCCCTTCGTAAGGGACACTCCCTTATTTGGTCTGAACAGATATGAGCCGTTTAGTAAGCAAGGTCTTGAGTCTTAAACAGGATGTATAATTTCACTAAGTATTTAGCGTCTTGAACGGGGTGTCTTTTTGCATCGATAGCCTTTAAACGAGTGTGAACGTGGTCGATGAGCTGTCGTTAATAATTCCATGATGTTAGTTTGAAAAATTATTTAATTATAATTCTGTATGCAAAACGAAACGAGTTAGGGTCATAAAATTGATAAGATCTCTTGCCTTAAACAGGGTAGCAAAATAAATGATTTTTGTCTTAAACAGGGTCAGGGTTGGAAGAACTCAGCGGCACATCTCTACTCAAACTTCCCTTGAGTGCCCTCCCCCCCGGACACATCCTAGTGAACCAATCAGCTGGGCGCCGGGTAGCCTTCGAGCAAGCTCTCCATATATTTCGAGTGCGGCTCTCGTGTGACTTCTCGCGACTCCTCCAAATGGAGCATGACTTTGAAAGGATTCAAACGCGCGAACATAACAGAAAGAACAAACGAACGGAAATAGAGAGATTTGATTGGTTTATCGAACGGATACAAAAACGTGCGTGGCTTTTGGTTGGTTAAGCGAACGCTCGAGTGAAAAAACTTCATGCCCGAGAGCTTTCTAGAATCAACCGATACTTCGCTTTGACGTCATACTGCAACAAGATTGGCCAATCGAACAATACCTTTTCCATTTTAGGGTTTTAGGGCCGTGTTTTGATCTTTTCATCCATAGGCTGATAAAACAGATAACGGGCACTTACCGGAACCATTTTTCATAGTCATACGAAAATCATTCTATTTTGTGATATTGCAGGAAACTACATACGCCGTCAGACAGAAACGTGGGGCAAACAGTACGAAGCCAGTAAGACCCACGACATTCCAGCAATGGACCATCTGATAGCGTGGCTGTTAGATAACATTCCTGCCGATGATAATACAACAGTTGTTCATGGGGATTATAGGTTGGATAGCTCGCAGCCTTCAGTGTACTTTTTTTTCTTAACTGTACTCATGGAACATTAACGCTTAAACCTGATCACAACAAATACTTCATCCATGCTGTGTGTATGCAGTCTTGTGTGAGTAGAATGAGCGGTGATACGGGAGAAATAGTTTTTTTTCTATGGGTAATTCAGCTTTTTAGAAGAAAACAGATCCCTGGAAGGAAAATATCAGGAATCAACCAAACAAGGAATCAACAAAACAAAAAATATCTCTCTCCGTGCTAATAAAGTAACACGGAATGTAGAATCCCTGTAGTCCCATCATGCAACGCTCCTCCTCGGCATAATTCCACAGAGGAAGTTCATTTTATACCAGAGAATTTCATTTACACCTCTAATTAACCACTGTTCTTTACAATAGATATCTCTTTGTTGCAGGTTAGACAATTTAATTTTCGACGAGAGAAAACCTGAGGTAATAGCTGTTTTAGACTGGGAGCTATCCACGCTTGGCGATCCATTATCAGATTTGGCCTACAACTGCTTACCTCATCATCTTCCTCCAAATTTCCCAGCATTAAAAGGTAAATTCATTTTGCGAGGAGGCTCTAACAATTGAATCAAACTTAAAAGCAAAATTTCAATTCTTATCTTTCTTCCCATTACATGTATTTGAATGCGATGAATACATACTGTATAGCAATTTGTCTCTAAGACGGACCCCTTGGGACCCGTACTAATTTCCAGGTGCCTACCTTGCGGAGAGTCGTATCCTCGGAAAACCAGTGGTTAGCCAGCAGAACAGGTGCTATTTTGTTCCGCAGGCTTTCGAGTCGCAGTCATTCGGGTTTGGAAAAAAACGGTGTGACGAAAGTTTGCCTGTTCTCGGTCTCTAAGAATGGGAGAGTCAAACAAATTGGCTAATGAAGAAAGAAGGGGACGAAATCCAAGGTAGTTATGACGTGTCCCTTAAAACAGCGTTGATCGTTTCTCTTTCGTGTCACTTTCCCTAGTCTTCATCGAGCCCTCTGCTTAGATAGAGCGGTTTTCACTTGACTGTGGAAAGTAATTGAGGAATTGGTTTGGTTTTGGTTTTACTACGCCCTTTGGTTGGCTTTTGGTTTTACGACAGTCAAGTGAAAACCGCTCTATGCCCATTTTTCCCCTCAAAATTATACGTTAATTGCTCTGTTTATTTGAAAAGGCTTTGCTGACCGTGAACCCAGTTCTCTCGGCATTCCCACAGACACACAGTACATGGAGGAGTACTGTCAGCGCGCAGGGATCCCAGTGGTCAAGAACTGGAACTTCTATATGGCATTTTCATTTTTCCGTGTGGCTGCCATTCTTCAAGGAGTCTACAAAAGAGCTTTGCAGGGTGAGAAAACAGTCCTGTAGCCCCGTCCTGTTTCGCGCTTATTCCATCTCGCCGTTCAAATCTTCAAATGTTGTAGTGTGATTGAAGTGTTGCGGAAAATCTTTCTTAAAACCTTTTTTTCTGTTTGTTTAGGAAGGCGAATACTAGATAAACATACCCTGTAGAATGAACTAGTTTAATGTCATCACGTGGTACCGCGCGCTCGCAGAACCTTTTTGCAGTGTTTTCAGTTCAAGGCAAACGCCTGTTATCTGGGAAAGTTGTGGTAACAATAATCAATTTTTATTTGTATCATACACACAGGCCAGGCCAGTTCAGAAAATGCAAAAGCTGTGGGCATTCTTGCGGAAACAATGGCTAAGACCGGTTGGAAACTTGCTTGTAAAGAAACAAGGCCCGGCAATGGGGCTGGTAATGCTGGAAGCACCAAGTCTTCGAAGAGAATGTATTCCACTTCGACCACAATCACTTTAGGTAAAGAGAGCTGCTACTTGCGCTCTTAAAAAAAGAAGAAAAGAAAAGAAATAGCACTTGCTGGTAAAGCAAGTATAATAACCTTTCTTTGTTTCTAGTGGTTGAAACTCGAAGAACGCACAGGGAAGAAAGTTAAGACGATTTTCAACACAGAGAGTGGTAATGAACTTGTTGGTGATGTGTAGACGACAGTTTACCACTTCAATTTTTTACCCGAGTTTATGGACAATTGAACTGTGCAGCTAGCATTTTAACACAGAGTCAACCGCACAACATTAGTTTTGTCCAGAAAGACAAGTTTGTTTATATTAAGTACCTTGCGTTGCTTCAACATGTTCATCTTTATTAATTTCTTCGTCCCCGCACTGTGGGAATTGTGTTTCTTTATTGCAAGGTTTTTGAGATCGTAAAAGTGGGATCAAGTACTCTGCTAGCAGAGCTTTCTTTCCGGCATGCTTTTTACCTTGTACGAGTCGTTCGCTTGGTAGACATTCGCGTTGCTTGGCTTGTTTACTTTCGCACGTATTCCGTGCCTATTTCAACTTTCCCAAAACAAGCGATCTCGAAAACTCTATTTGGGCAACGCCAAAATAATAAGCAAGCAACCCGTGAAAAGTAGTATGATGACATCAAGTTCTTTTTTCAGGTCAAAGCTAATTAATGTTTCTTCTTGTTTGTATTTTTTCGCAGGTGCATTGCCTGTTGCCATCACGTCTCTTTCGCCCCGCGTGCAACAAATGCACCAGCAGCTGACAGGTTTCATAAACGAGCACGTGTACCCTAACGAAGCTGAGTTCAACCGGCACCAGTCCTCTGAACAATGCTGGACACCTCATCCACTGTTAGAAAAGATTAAGGTAAGGTGTAGCAATCACGTGGTTAGCTCCCTATTGTCTCTCAAAGATACCCACCTGAATGGATGACTACTAAGTGGGAATGTCGACTTGCGCACTTCAGCTGTTGCGGTTCTAACAATAAATTTCGCAACAGCAAGATAACAAACTTTCTAACGACCGAATGTGTGAACGAATGACCAAAGGAATTTCATATTATGTTACGTCAGGAGCCCTCTTCATCTTACCTTATGGGCTTCTTGTTACAGGCATTCTTCATACTGCTCGGATGAGCTATGTTGGAAGCGTACTCTATAATGCTAGGTAAAGAAGATTGCAAATTGTAAGCTAAATACCTCGGCGATCTTCATTTGTTGTTAACAGGAAAAAGCCCGGTTAGCCGGCCTTTGGAATCTGTTCATTCCTCTTGAAGCAGACCCTAATGTGAAATATGGCGCTGGACTAACCAACGTGGAGTACGCGTACTTGTGTGAAGTGATGGGAAGATCCGTGTACGGACCAGAGGTATGTTAATAGCGGAGCTCTCGCGAGCGAAACTTCCGCAGCGGAGCGTCCATTACTGTAGAAAAAGAAAACCTATCGATGCGAAGAAATTTGGTAGTCACGTGACTGACCGGAACCACTTACTTCGCTACCCCTACATGCAAGCGGGAGCGAAATTCGTATTTAAGTAGCCGCGGATCGCATGGCCACCCCGACTTTTAGAGAGAAAAAGCAAACTAAAGACAGCAGAGCCAAGTCTTATTTACAACTAAATTTTAATCACATTGTATGTCTATACACTGACGTAGATATTAACTAGAGAAAGAATTAGGTCGAGAGAGATAAAAGACAAAGGAGACGAAATTCGTTAGAAGAACAACGTGACAGTTTTAACATAGCTTTTTATGTTTCTGCTGTCAGTGTCGGGCCTGGTTACTGCTAGGGTATTGCTTTGCTCGCCGTGTAGTTTGTGTTCGTGCAATAATTTTGATCAGGGGCACCCAACGAGAATATAGTTCAAAACCACTTAAACATAGCATTGTTAAACGTATTTTAGTACTTAAACGGTAGATATAGGCATATTTTTATCCCCTAAAAATGTTTCATCTGTTCGGAGTTCCTAGCTGAAAGTCTCGAGATCCGAAAATCATAGGGATCAAACTTACCTTTTCGAAAATTTCAGCCAGAAAAAAGGCTCCCGAAAATTTTAGGTGAACTTTTTAGGGTAAAAATCCGTTAAAAATGGGCAATTACACCAATTTTTAGATGTTCGAAAATCCTAAGAGAGGTGGGCAAGCAAGAAATTTTACAAAAAATGTTCCGAAAATTCTAGATCTCAAATCGTCTTCCGAACAGATATTTTCCGAAAATTGACGTTGGGTGCCCCTGTTTTAATAACCGTACAGACTTTGTTTTCATCAGCTGGTCACATTCCATGATATATACTAAGGTTAAAAAAGTTATGTTACTCTTTGTATTGTATATATGATTTATTACTGATGAAAGATGAGGGATTTGACCGAAGATGTCTCATCGAATAGTTTATGTGAAGAAACCATCAGCCTGATATATATTTTTTATCTTCGATAGCTGTTCAATTGTTCTGCGCCAGATACTGGTAACATGGAGGTACTGATCAAATACGGCACAGACGAACAAAAGGTATGATACCTATACACCTCTGATGTGAGGATGGAAAAAAATCATATTTCTTCATATTGTTACGTGAGCTGAATAACCAAACAGTAATGTTTATAGGCTTTAATTCTGATTTTAGCTGAAATTTTCCTGCTTTTATGATTATTTTTTCCACAGGATAAATGGCTACATCCACTTTTAGGCGGAAAAATCAGATCTTGTTTCGCTATGACAGAACCAAAGGTAATAATTAAAGCAAATTCCATGCCCGTTTTTTATCATTTATCATATATTATTTTTCGTCTTTCTTTTTCGAGTCGACTAACTGTGAGCACGGAACAGAGTTATCTCAAATGGAAGGCTTGTCTTTCGCGTTGGTTGTGCCGCTAGGAACTCTTCCTTACCCCATAAAAATTTTTAGACCAAGGAATAGTTTCTCTCTGGAACAAACCGTCTACTTATTAGAATATTCCGCCTACTCAAAAACGTTCTGAAAATCCCGCCTGCCTTGTAAAAAAAATACCTCATCAAGGAGAAAACTGCATGAAATGTTTGCAGTGCAATTCTCCTCTAGGGAGGGAGGCAGGGCATTATGATGATGCCATGCACTTCCTTTGCTTTTGTTTTTACTTAATATATACATGACTATTATATAGTTGCTATCAACAGTGTCTAACAAGGTTACTGTAGCTAAATCGTCTGCTCCTCAGGCTTTTTTTCTTAGTGTAATATCTTTTTATTCCGATGTTTTTCTTTATAGGTAGCGTCATCAGATGCCACTAACATCGAATCTTCCATAATTCTGGATGGTGATCATTATATCATCAACGGACACAAGTGGTGGACATCAGGTTAAAGAAGAGGAAGTTGCCGATTTTACTGTCCGGCGAGCAAGGTCTCCATTTGGGAGAGTCGCCGCGAGAACTCACGCGAGAGCCACAGGGGAAAGCTCGCGTGTTTTCTCGCCGCTAACTTTGCTCGCAGGCTACTCTAGTTCTTGATCTAAACACTGTTGACTTGTAGCATAATCTACTTTCTATTAAGAGTTGCTCCAGCCTCGATTGTGTCTGTTGAAATTAGGACTCAGTTCCTTAACCCTTTAGGTCCCAAGAGTGACCAACATCAATTTTCTTCTAACAACATCAGCAGATCATTAAGAGTAAAGGTTATGAGAATTACTAACTTGATTACCAATGGAAGAACGCTTTGATCTTAAACCAAATTCTCTCAACTATTGTTAAAAGAATTGTATGGAGATCAATCTGGAGGATTTGTATGTGGATCTTGGGGCTTAAAGGGTTAAAAGAGGTTGATTCCTGGTGACCTTCTATTTGGGCGCACCGATCAGGGTTAGAGTTTTTATCTAGAAGCCATTTGTAATTAAATGGGCTTTCTGGGAGGGCCGCTCGTTAGGCACGCAAACATAAGGTATCGTACAGCCCATCCTTTCCGCGTACCATATTTTTTCCTGGTCGTTGTTTTGGTCTTTTCATTCCCAGAACCCTGAAACATGTTTCCAACGTTTCTCTATGTAGTAGCTGGAATGTCGTTAGATGTTTTGTTTTTTACCATTGTAGGTGGCATGGACCCTCGATGCAAGATCTGTATTTTCATGGGAAAAACCGATCCTGAGGCACCCAAACATAAACAACAGGTAGTGATTCTTTGTTACGTGTTGATCGGTAGCAGAAATGTCGCTTTTCATTGAAAACAAAAATGAGAAATTTACTTTTATAAATTTGTCAATAAATTGTAGTCTAATATGGTTAAATGACTTATGCCTCCAGTCTTCATGTAGATACGGGTTTTGGTAAGCAAAAGTTTAATATTGGTTTGACCGAATTGAAATTCGTTACTATCGGGCTTTTCTAGCTATTTATTGTTATTTTTGATCTTCTCTTGTCTAATAGTGTTCTACATTTAGTTTCGAATCTAGTCGGTTCACAGACCTAATATCCTTACATCCCTTGAGAGAAGAGGGTACGCCGCTAGCCTAAGAGGGCGAGCTTTGAGTAAATGAGATATAGAATTTCCTTCTTTAATGTCCTCTTGTCTAGAATGTCTAGCTAACCTGAGACTAGGGCTTCACTGATCTGTACAAACACAAACACTTCCTTCTCGAAATTATTTCAGGCTATGATACTTGTTCCTATGGATGCGCCTGGGGTTACTGTGGTACGACCTTTATCCGTTCTTGGATACCAAGACCCTCCTTGTAAGTTGTGCCCTATTTCTTCATATTGTTACGTGAGCTGAATAACCAAACAGTAATGTTTATAGGCTTTAATTCTGATTTTAGCTGAAATTTTCCTGCTTTTATGATTATTTTTTCCACAGGATAAATGGCTACATCCACTTTTAGACGGAAAAATCAGATCTTGTTTTGCTATGACAGAACCAAAGGTAATAATTAAAGCAAATTCCATGCCCGTTTTTTATCATTTATCATATATTATTTTTCGTCTTTCTTTTTCGAGTCGACTAACTGTGACCACGGAACAGAGTTATCTCAAATGGAAGGCTTGTCTTTCGCGTTGGTTGTGCCGCTAGGAACTCTTCCTTACCCCATGAATTTTTAGACCAAGAAATAGTTTATCTTTGGAACAAACCGTCTACTTATTAGAATATTCCGCCTACTCAAAAACGTTTTGAAAATCCCGCCTGTCTTGTAGAAGAAATACCTCATCAAGGAGAAAACTGAATAAAATGTTTGCAGTGCAATTCTCCTCTAGGGAGGCAGGGCATTATGATGATGCCATGCACTTGGTCTGCTTTTTTTACTAAATATATACATGTATATTACATAATTGCTATCAACAGAGTCTAACTAGGTTACTGTAGCTAAATCTTCTGTTCCTTGGGCTTTTTTTCTTAGTGTAATATCTTTTTATTCCGATGTCATTCTTTATAGGTAGCGTCATCAGATGCCACTAACATCGAATCTTCCATAATTCTGGAAGGGGATCATTATATCATCAACGGACACAAGTGGTGGACATCAGGTTAAAGAAGAGGAAGTTGCTGATTTTTACTGTCCAGCCTCCAGTCTACTTTTAGCCGGCGAGCAAGGTCTCCATTTGGGAGAGTCGCAGCGAGAACTCACGCGAGAGCCACAGGGGAAAGCTCGCGTGTTTTCTCGCGGCTAACTTTGCTCGCAGGCTACTCTAGTTCTTATCTAAGCACTGTTGACTTGTAGCATAATATACTTTCTATTTAGAGTTGCTGCAGCCTCGTTTGTGTCTGTTGAAATTGGGACTCAGTTCCTTAACCCTTTTGGTCCCAAGAGTGACCAACATCAACATTACTAGATCATTAACAGTTAATTTTATGAGAATTACTAAATTGATTACCAAAGGGAGAACGCTTTGATCTTAGACCAAATTCTCTCAACTTTTGTTAAAAGAAATGTATGGGGATCAATCTGGAGAATTTGTGTGTGGATCTTGGGGTTTAAAGGGAGAAAAGAAGTTGGTTTCTGGTGACCTTCCATTTGGACACACCCAGTTTTGTTATTAAATGCGCATTCTGGGAGGGCCGCTCGTTGGGTACGCAAACATAAGGTATCGTACAGCCCATCCTTTCCGCGTATTTTGTTGTCCTGGTCGTTTTCTTGGTCTATTCATTCCCAGATCCCTGAAATATGTTTCCAACGTTTGTCTATATAGTAGCTGGAATGTCGTTGGATGTTTTATTTTTGACCATTTGCAGGTGGCATGGACCCTCGATGCAAGATCTGTATTTTCATGGGAAAAACCGATCCTGAGGCACCCAAACATAAACAACAGGTAGTGATTCTTTGTTGCGAGTTGATCGTTAACAGAAATGTCGCTTTTCATTAAAAAAAAAATAATGAGAAATTCAATTTTGTAAAGTTGTCAAGAAATTGTAGTTTAATATGGTTAAATGACTTATGCCTCCAGTCTTCATGTAGATACCGGTTTTGGTAAGCAAAAGTTTGATATTGGTTTGACCGAATTGAAATTCGTTACTATCGGGCTTTTCTAACTATTTGTTTTTAACTTTGATCTTCTCTTGTGTGATAGTCTTTTACAGTTAGTTTCGAATCTAGTCGGTTCACAGACCTAATATCCTTACATCCCTTGAGAGAAAAGGGAACGCCGCTAGCGTAAGAGGGCGAGCTTTGAGTAGATGAGATATAGAATTTCCTTCTTTCGTGCCCTCTTGTCTAGAATGTCTAGGTAACCTGAGACTAAGGCTTCACTGATCTGTATAAACACAAACACTTCCTTCTCGAAATTATTTCAGGCTATGATACTTGTTCCTATGGATGCGCCTGGGGTTACTGTGGTACGACCTTTATCCGTTCTTGGATACCAAGACCCTCCTTGTAAGTTGTGCCCTAAATCTACAAACTCAACAATAATGCGTGGCTGTTACCCGACTTCAACTTCAACTTCAACTTCAACTTTATTTCATAAGACTATTGGTTACAATAGACTGGCCCGCAAAATAGCAATTGCTAATCTAGGCGGACCAGTTAAAAGAAAAATAAATTGAAAGGAAAAGAAAGGAAAGGAAAAGGAAGGAAAAACTACAATTTTAAGTTACAATAAATAATACCCGACTCTGTTTTTTAGAGCGTGAGACGGAGAATGTTTTCTATGTAGTGTTTTTTGTTTGGCTAAGGATTCCGAGCGGCTGTTAAGAGTAAATTATTTGTTATTTACTTCTGGTTTATAGCTTACGTCACGGCAGTCATGTTGGGCTTTTCCCTCCGCTGGGTTGTATTGTTTTGACAACCAACATTGCCACCTTGTCACGTGATTGCAGATCAAGATTTCTACTGTCACGAAACTCTTCAAAATTTTATTCGTTCTTCTTGGGATGAAGCTCTAATGTTTCAGGGTTTCCATGCGAGGGTCTATTGTTTCTGTCGTTTGTTTATCGTTTTCTTGGCTAATCATGTTAGCTGTTCCGAGGGCTCCCAGGCGACCCTAAGATTTGTGTAAGACAGGGAAAAGCCATAATGAAGTAAAGTTTCAGTATATTTATGTGGTTTTTATATGTTATAGGCGGGCATGCAGAGGTACTCTTCCAAGATGTTCGAGTTCCTAAAGAGAACATTTTACTGGGACCCGGAAGGGGATTTGAGATCGCTCAGGTGAGTCTCGTTAATAGCTCTGGTTATATTAACTGAGTTACTGAAGTACGTTGTCAAATTTACCTTCTAACGCAGCCGATAAAAACGAAATAGGCCACTTGCACTAAGAGGCCACTTGACCAGTGCTTCCTTTAAACAATGAGTTGGAGGGTGAGTTTGAATCTTGCTGATGCCAAAAATTGACACAGCACATAAAAGTTATCCTACACCCGAAATTTGAGGGGAAACGAATTTAACGGAGATATTTCATGGAACCTTGATTTTTCAGCAAAGTAGTATGATTTGTATTGGCTGCCATGTTGGAGGGCAAACCCTTGCCCTCCAACATGGCGGCCAAAACTACTTTTTGCTTATGTCTTGTTAAACGTTTGATAGTTACGCTCAGATGTGCTATAAACGTTACCACATCATCTTTTCAACACTTTCCTTGAAGTTTAAGTGCAAAATTTGTGTTCAGAAAGAGGTAATTCATAATTTTAAAATCACATTTTGATCACGTGACCATCTACGAACTTACATATTTTCAGAAAATGGTGCCGGTTTGAAAAACCAAATCACTATTATTTTGTTTAAGATATGACCCACGTGTCGTTTTTCGAAGGAAAAATCATATATAACTTTCATTTTCATAAAAACGATGTCACCTGACCTCTTAGTGCAAATGGCCTATTTTTTTGACGCTTGAGCTGTAGTGTTCGTTGATGTGTTGCTGTCTTAAATCCTCTTTTGCTTGATTTTAATAGATTTGTTATTACATATTACTTTGTGTATTCTCCTGTTTCGCCTTCTTAGTAGAAGCCACTTGACGACTGTTTATTTCAAGTTCATGCTTTTTTTATGTTTTCAGGGTCGCTTGGGTCCAGGCCGTATTCATCATTGCATGCGCTTGATAGGGCAGGCAGAGAGAGCCCTGGAACTAATGATTGAAAGAGTAAGTGTTGAGTGAACTGTCGTCGTTATTGAAATTGGCATCTCCTCGTGTTGCAAATCACGAATCGGTTCTCCCAAATAACACTAGCGACCGACATTTTCTTTTCTTTATTGACAGGTTAAAAGTAGAGTGGCTTTTGGAAAACCTTTAGTCCAGCAAGGAAGCATTTTACAAGACATAGCAGAATCCAGAATAGAGATAGAACAAGCAAGGTGCGACTACCCCGCGCTTATTGTTAATTAGAGGGCAAAAAGAAGCAGCGAAAGGAATTCTTGTTTTACGTTTAGAGTCTTTAAAGCCTACGCAACCTACTCAGATGGCATAGATTTTGAATGTAGTTAAGGTAGTAGGTTGTAAAGGAATTCTGTTACTATGAGACCTTAAGCATAGAGCCCGCTTTGAAAATTACACTTCTGAAAAGCACTTTATTGTTTGCCTGATTTAGTAACCACCTTGAAATTATTTTTGCAGACTTCTAACCCTCAAAGCTGCCCATCTTATGGATACCGTAGGAAATAAGGTATTTTATTTCGAAGGTTGTTTGAGTATTTAGCATACTACACGTTTTCTTTGCTGATTTATTTATTGCATTTTTTAGTTTTATGAAGTAAAAATCACGAATCTGAGATAATCTCATAAAATGGGGTACAGTGACACACCCAAGTACAAAATATGAAAATAAGCCTTGTATAACATATAATGTCAAGTGTCCGATTTGGCATTGAGTTTCAACTTTCAGCTGTTCTTTAACATATTAAGCAATCAAACCTGCGTTATGCCGTCACACTCTTTAGGAATGGCCAACTGATTGCTTAATACAGGTTGACCGTTTACCACAGGTTTGACAAACCTGAGAATTTATCAACAAAATAAAGATGGTAACAAAGAAAAAATATCCATAATACGACAATTCGACCTCAGACTGCTTCTATCTCTTCTTATGCCAAAGGAGAGAGAGTAAAAGCTAAGACCATAAGCACTGAATGCCGTGCTCAGTTTTTCTTTTGCACTTCTATGGGACACCTTCATTGACAAAGAGACCGTTTAATATTGGTGAACTCGTTGGTACCACGAACATGTGTGATAGAACCGGCCGCTTCAGTGAAACAGATCAGTTTTACAGTAATTATTTAGGGACATGGTTTCCATGGCTTTGACGTCTTTAATTTGAAAATGAAAAGGCGATGGTTGTCGTCTTAATGGTACAAGATACCTTCCTTTCACTATGGCTGGCTGTATAAATGCCTTCAGCGTCTGTCATTCTTTTTTTAGGCTGCTTCTCCTGAGATCGCCATGATTAAGATAGTTGCTCCTCGGATGGCACAGAATGTCGTCGATAGAGCCATGCAGGTTTGTCTGGAATTCCATCCAGCAGTTTTATACGCGAGCCTTAGCTGGAAAAGCGCTTTTAAAATGTTATCAACTAACAACATTTATCGTTGCCGTACCAAAGTACTGCTCAGTAGCTTTATGTGAATTCTCACACTTTAGGATTTTGTCCACAGACTCAAAAGTTATAACATAAGAGAATATAAACAGCACGACAGGAAATTAATGCTCAGAACTCCCGTTTAAATTGTTGGTGATGATTTACAATTTTTTCCACCGATGTAAACAAACTATAGCAAATATGTTGCACTCATACCAAGAACACCTTGGGCATCTAATAAGATAACATTTCCATACTATTCTGCATGGAATTCTGAGGAACATCTTGTTGTAGAGATTCTATTTCTGCTTTCGGTCCTCGTTCTGGCGTAACATAAGCATTCTGACTCTTTCACGTCAACCAGAAGTGGTCATTTTTCATTTTTGGACGGTGGTTTTGCCCAAATAATTGGACAAATCGTCTCTATAATAGCATAGTTATGATAATAGTAAAGACACTTTTGGTACCGTCAAGGTGATTTAAAATGAAAAAGACCTCACTTCCGGTTGACATGCGTCGCTCAAAAACTTCTTTGCTTAAGCACCCTATTGGCTCGTTTTGACAGGCATTTGGAGGAGCCGGTCTTTCGTCTGATCAACCGCTGGCCCAGTTCTAGTCATGGGCTCGTGTTCTCCGCCTCGCGGACGGACCGGATGAGGTGCATCTTGGGGCGGTGGCAAAGCGAGAAGTAAACAAAGATAGCTTCAAAGGGAGATGAATTTGTTCAAGATATACGCTTAGTGAGCACAGAACTATGATTTAATTGCGTAATTCTATTTGAAATGTCTATCCCTATTATATGACTGGCTCCGCGAGAGGGGCTAAATCTTGGTGTCGCGGAAACCATTGTTGCTTAGTTACATGTATTGTGTTGTGGTGTAAGTATGGTTCAGCGTCTTATCAGTCTTTGTATTAAGTCATTTGGTGATCGCGCTTTCTGCAAAACCAAGAAACTATCGTAAGAGGTCTAGCTGAAGCAATTACTGTCGTTTGATCGGCCACTCGAGTCACCAGGATGGGCTGTCTTGCCTATCATTGGCCATTTAGCCACTTACCCATTTGGCCATTTGACTCCTGTCCATAAAAACGCAAACTTCCATATTTACCTTGTACGTGGATGATAACCGACATACGTTAAGACCGTAATAATCCGATAAGCTAGAGAGAGGCGAGGAGAGAAGACAAGGATTAAGGTTTTTTTAAAACTCAACTTATTGATCGCTTCGGCTGCCCACCCATCTCTTTCAGTACTGCCTCGTAACTCGTTGGTCAGAATCTGTGAACATATAAGGTGGTTATTAGCTATTATTTCAATGGTTACACATACGGGCAGGTCTGTTGAATCGTTTTGGGGAACGTGCTAAGGAACGGATAGCAAAAGCAGTGCTCTCGTACGTTTTCTTGGAAACGTCCTCCGTCCTTCGTACTAGATATTTCTGATATTTTTAAACGTTAATAATAATGTCGAAAGCTAAAACAGTTTACAATTTTAATATTTTACTGTCTGAATGACGCAAAGAAGAGCATAGATATACACGTTTAGTGCACACAAATGATGAAGGAACTCACTTGATGTAACACTTTCCTACTCAGTCACTTCATCTACCACTTCAGAAACTCTGGGGAGAATGGGTGCAAGCTTTGGGTAATGTGACTTCTGGAATCGTTGGGAAGCGTTAGTTATGATTGGTCGATGGTGTTCAAGGCAACCATTGACCAATCATAAGTAACGCTTGTCCACTCAAACGATCCCAAAAATCGTTGCGCCGAAAGCTTCTTGTACCCATTCCCTCCCCTTTCTGGAGTCAGAAACTCTGGGGAGAATGGGTACAAGCTTTGGGTACTGTGATTTCTGGGACCGTTGGGAAGCGTTAGTTATGATTGGTCGATGGTATTCAAGGCAACTATTAACCAATCATAAGGAACGCTTGTCCACTCAAACGATCCCAAAAGCTTCTTGTACCCATTCCTTCCCCTTTCTGGAGTCATTCTGACGCTTTGAGCAGCCAAAATTACCTATACAATTATTTCAATGCAAACCAGATTATTTTTTTGCAGAAAAAATCTGGCAACATGAAAGTGATAGGTTTTTTCAGACACAAATGTAATAAATTAGGTGTTGCTGAATGAAAAATTCTAGTAAACTAAATAAAATACTTGGTAATAAATCCAGTTTCATTCTGTTGATATTTTACTACTGTGTAAACATACGTTTTTATACAGCGATTTTTATGCTACTTGTTTAAGATTAAACGGCCTTATATTTTTTGGCGTTACTTTAAGTAACCACCTCTACCAATTTAAAAAACTATTTATTACTTCGGCGGAGCGCGAAGTAAAGGATTCGCGACGCTCAGAAATGTATCAAAGTTGCCATTTTTTGACAAGATTGGGCATGCAAAGTCTGTAGGTTTTCGGTTCTATTCGGCTGTTTGACGAAGTGAGAGCCGAATTAGTTCGAGATATCTCGAGATCACTTCGATGAAGTTTTGTATCTGCGCTGAATTGACGTATGCGTTAAAGTTCTCTCTTTAAGTGAAAAATGGTTCTGTCTATAATGTGATTCCAAGGATCATGCTCGTTTGTTGGCTCCATATGGAGTAACTTAATAAAAAAAACCGAGTGTGCTGCAAACTGGAACATCAGCATATCGGTGGTAACTTTATTACGAAGTGCTTTAATTGCTTCGACAATTCAGTAACATCGGGCATCGGGGACGCAGGTTCATTTGTTTCCTTAACGGCTTGAATGGCCGCCGCTAAAGAAGCCTCCTGGTCCAACAAGGGCATTTTCAGGCCCTTTACCGGTGAAGGTTGTCGTAGGAACACGGTGGGTTGTTGCATGATTGCTTTAAATACAGAAAATTTCATTAATTGTTTGTCGACAGAAGGGACCCAGCTGTCTTTGCGGTCTGAGCGGATTAAAGACGCTTTCAGATCCTCCACTTTTATAGCCCTGCAGACTTTGCTGCTTGTATACTTTCCGTCAGGTGTAATATCGTATTTATCAGCCTTTGGTAGGTAAAATACTGTTCGTGTAATCTGTTTACCAGTCTTTGTGGAAGCCATTTTAATAGTTGTCTGGTGTTTCCCGTTTGGAGTTGAAGTTTTTCTCTTTTCACAGTCGTTCAGTTCTGAAGGCTTTATGTCGTTGGCATTTTTTTCCTCATACTGCTGTTCATTTAACCCTTGTTTTCTTTGTGAAAGCAGACACTTACCCTTTAATGTAGTAGTTAGAGACGGAAGCGGCAAAGTATTGTTTGTCGTTTTGATACTACTGTCTTCAACACTGAATTGTACCTTTTTAGTTCTAGTCCCTCTGTTGTCTTGTTCGCTTTCCTCAGTCCCACTTTTGGAACTTTGAGGACTTCGTATCGTAACCCGCTCACCATCCAGAACAGTGGAGACAGGCAGATGTGGCAAAATATTATTTTGATGTTCTAAACTTACTTTATCGTTGGTCTGATCGCATTTATTATGAAAAGCACCTTTCTTGTCTTGTTCCGTAGTCGTCCTGGAACTCCGGGAACCACGAGACGACGGTGGCAAGCTACTGTTGGGTTTATTCCACATGTGAAGCAATTGAGGAGAAAAATTAAGGCTACGTATGCATAACAGAGCTGGTAGGACGCTCTGGTCTTGGTTGCCCTTCGCTCCTTGTGATGTTAGTGAAAGATCAGGAAAATTTAGCTGGGAATTTCTAACGTGTTTCTCTTTTTCTGATGTCGATATTTCAACCGTGGTCTTTACCTCGTGTAGGATTATTTTCGCAGAGTTTTCCTCTCCAGTTTTACCTCCTTTTTGTGGGCTTAAAGCACCCTTCCCCTTCACATATATCCTACCACGGGCTGTTGGAGGCATATCCATCATTCCTCGGCATTTCAGCCACCTCTTTTCTTCATCAACCTTGAGAAACCTTAATTGTCGTTAAATATTTGCGAGAATTAGACAAGCAAAATATCAATTTATCCCATAATTCGTGTTAACCTAAATTCCGTTCTTTCTTATTATTTATTAAATCCGTCGGCAGGCTCGTTTTGTCTGTACGAACTAATCTTCTGAGGAACGTGATTTTCCCCAAGCCGGATGTTTCGTTGTTGTTGTTTTTTTTTCCGTGCGCCTAAGTGATAACAAAAATCACTTAGATCATTTCTCATAAGAGTCTCATGCATTTGTAAGCTAAACATGTACGGCTACAAAAATTTTGGAGGGAATCGCGAAAATGATATGACAGTTTTTGTAACATGAAAGTGAAGATGTGAAATTTCATATATATTTCAGAGGCATGGCTAGCTGTGCTTTACGCCAGTGGGCACGTGCTTACCTGACAAAGATGTCGAAGATAAATAAAAACATAGGAAAGTAACGGTCTGATGGCCAATAAGAGACTCCGCTTTCACATCTTCCTGTTAATTTATTTCTAAAACTGAATACAAACGCATTTTTGTTACTGATTCTTTCGCACGCGAAGGCTGTACCTGCTACCTGAAGAACGTGGTCCTAAGACCAAGAGAGTGCATAACTACTTGCCTCTCCACGATTATAAAAAAATAATAAAATTACACGGAAGTCCCCAAAATGAAAACGATTTGGTAGACGGAGGAGGGTTGATTTTGAAAAACTGTGGGTACCTATAGAAATTTCAGTTTTTAGCGGTACGCCGCTGTATTTGAACTGTGAGAGAAAGATCTCGCATTAGTCGTCCTGTGCTAGACACAGTGGAACCTCCGTCAAACGGACTCCCCGTATGCACCCTTCGACGGTGTCCGCTGACGGGAGTTTTAAGAATGAACTATAAATAAGCACTTTCAAAGCGTTTTAAGCTAAAATAAATATAAAATAATCAGTCTTTGCAGAAATTAGCTTTGAGGGGATGTAAAGAAGATTACGCATTGAAATCTTTTTAGAGTCAGGTTTGAGTTAAAATACCACCCAATGAAAGATACGTAACTCTCCAGTTAATCTCAAATTCTTTAACTCGAAAATGGAGAACGTTTGACTCTGTCGCAGGAAATTCAAATTCTCTTCATTACGTTGATGAAAAATCCTCAGAAACGTACAGCAAATCACTGCCTTTGATATACTTAAGAGTGCTGACATAGAAAGTGGTAGATATTGATGGAAAATGCAGTTTAATCTAAACAAGCAATTAGGAACGCTTGTCTGACTGTGTATGCTTCCTGGGCACGTGTTCATATCGTATCACGACACATAAGACTTCGACCTTCGCCAGTCTGGTGGAATCAGAGTCATTTAGAATCAAGATTAAGGTTTAAGACTTTGCAAGAAATAAGAACTTTGTCCGCGCAACCTCTAAAGTCTCAATTCAGTGTCAGCGTGTACAAGATCGTACGCTATAGAACAATATAGACGGGAAAAATATAGCGAGCGGGAGTTTAAACCCTTTGCAACGACACTGCCAAGAAAACTTGCTAGTGTCAATTCGGCTTTACTCCGGCCCCTAATCTTTAACAACGTCCCTGTAAGCCTTGTGCGGCCTTTATCAAACATATTGCCTGCCTTAACGTTCGACTACGTGGCTTAGTCCGATCCCAACAGAGCATATGTGGTCGAGCTGGAGTTCATATGGCAAAATTTCTAGCCCGCATACCGAGTTCTCGGTAACTGGGATAGCCCGCATTTAATACACGTGAACACATCAAAAAATATTTTACAGAGGAAAGAGTGGCGGCAGCGATATCTGGGGAACTAAGCCAGCCGGCCCAGTTGACTCCCAGTCGATTGGCCCTAATGAACAGGCCAACATCTACAATAGCTACATATGTACTAAAATCACAGCGAATTTTGGGGTAGGAATTTTTGAAGTGGACGCGGAACAAAAGAGTTTTATTAGTCCTGCAGAGTGCTCCAGGTTGACATGATACCTTAACTGAAAGAAAAACAGATGCAAACACAAATCTGCCTTAAGAATTCAGACGATAATCTTGGCTGTCGATGAGACCAGCCAATCCAGGATTTTCAGTCGGCTGCCAAAGTTTCAGCCTCTTAATGCGAAGGTGAAGAAATTTCCCAACTGCAAAATCATAGAATGTGGAATAAATATGTCTTAGCTACAGCCCTTCCACCAAAGTTGTATACGGTTGGGTATTATATTAGTATAAAGGGTAAACTTGAGCTTTATAAGATTATTTGTTTTTGTTTTAAAAATAATTTTTTGGATTAATTGTTTGTGTTAGGATACTGACCACGTTGAATACGGCCATAAACAACATAAATACTCGCTATAAATATCCGGCCTGGGCTGTCTAAAGATCAAGAATATAGCTTAATAAAAAAGGAAAGCACATTTACATCGACAGCATTTTCCGGAATTCAAACCCCGTCCTTTACAATTACTTGTATAGGTAATAGCATGTTTTGTAGTGATATTTGGCATAAATACCACGAGTGATATTTTGAAATTGTTATACGTAATTTCGCGAGCCGTTTGGCGAGTGAAATCTGAGGCAGTTTTGAAATATCACGAGTGGTATAGTTATGCCAAATTTCACGTACAAATCAGGCTATTATTTGTTTATACTACTATCCGCAAACGGTTTGTAATTTTCACACGTAGGTATTTCAAATTAAGCTGAAATACCACTGCTCTAAGCCAATCAAATTGCAGAAATTTCTCATGTAGTAGTATAAGATGTTTATAAATGAACAAACAAGCTTAATTTTATAAATATTCTTTTAGTATGTTGAAGTTCTTAGATTACTTGCTAATGTCAGGTACTTATGTAAATTGAGTACACAAGACCAAGCGAAAAAAAAATATAAATAGAAAAAGCGGAATTTAGCAAAAAATTTCAATAAAAAAGTACTGGCGAGATGTGAAATATGTAAATATGTAGCACTATATTGCATCTTACCTCTTAATATAATCTTTCAACGAAACAGAGAAGCTTGACTGTAAGCTTGGATAAATTCTAGTGGAAGCAGTTTTTTTGTTGCTGATGTTTTGTGTTGTATTGTTTCTTTCTTTCTTTCTTTTTTTCTTTCTTTCTTTCTTTCTTTCTTTCTTTCTTTCTTTTGTTTTGTTTGTTTCTTATCTGGCAGAAAGGTAGGGTTTTTAAGAAGAGGCTATCAAGTCAGCTAGTAACAGTAGTAATATCTTGTCAGCATTTCACGGCCTTGCAGTATGAAAAAAATACCATACCAAGCGGACAAACAAGAGCTCTTAATGACTTAAGGCTTGGGGAAAATTATTACGACAATTTTTGTCACCACGGAATATTGCTAAACGACTATGAAAACATTGTAGGGTCATCTCATTATGTTAGATACAAATCCTTATATTAAAAAGTTAAAGATTTATCCCCCTGTAATATGTCCGGCTTTAAGATGTGCTTACAAACAGAGCGATTAAGAAATTATCAGACTAATGCCAAAGAGAGATTTTAGAACAGTTATTTGGTCATTAAATGCCGGATTTAATGTGTTTTTGAAGGTCTGTGGTTCATTAATCCATGATATAAAGTGGGTTGACTATACGAATGCGGTGCATTTTTTAGTACGTTTCCTGCTCGGTGAGTCATAGAGATCGCTTTGATTGTGACACGGGAAAGACTGACAGGATGCTTAAATCAGTCAGTAGAGATATAGCTATAACTGGAAAGAGTCCATTTCCTGCCCAAAATCGGGGAGAAAACGATGGCGAGAAATTCTTGACCAAAATACCCAAGTTAAAACTGGGAGTCTCCAGTGTCGGGGAAACAAACCGATCTGAAAAGCCCGAGGTAAAGTTACCTGTTCTCGCAAAGAAAGGAACAGTGAACAGTCTTTATGAAGACAGTAATGATTTGCAGTTTATTTTACGTGTCCGATGCCTCGAATTTCCGCTTCAAGTGCACGGATTGAAACCGGAATTGGATGCATCGAGTACGAATTCGCCAGCGTCCACTACCGGTGAGAGCCCAAACGAAGCTAGAAGTGAAGCCTTGGAGTCTGACTTGTATACCTTGCCTAAAGAAAAGAATAACAGCTTGTCACTCTCTTCTTTCACTGTTTTAGAAGGAAGGCGAATGAATTTACGCGGGAAAGAAGATTTCAAAAAACAAGAGAGAAAGAAACAGGAGGAAAACAACGACTTCGACTTGACGTCTCACGAATCTGACTCTGAGAGCTCCCAGTCCTGGAATATGAGTTACTCGAGGGCTTGCCAACAGTTATCACAGTCTCCAAAGACTGATAAATTCCATATAAGAAGTAAATGTCGTGTCACACCTCGTAATTTGACAGAGAGGAAGATAGGCAAGCTTACATCAGGTTCTGATATGATCAAGTCGACATGCCCTCGAAAAGACCATAGGCGTCCATCATTTAAGTTACCAAAGGCTGATAAATACGATATCCACCCTCCAGCAGTCGTAGAAGTCAAAGTTTGTTCAGTATTCAAAGGAGACGCTCTAAAAACAATGATTATATATCCCGGTTATAGCGATAGCTGGATTCCACGCCGGGATCGTGACGTCATCAAGAACGCCGTGTTTAAAGCAATCATGCAAAGACCAGCATTGCTTCTAAGGCAGCCATCGCAGGAAGCTGCAGGCATGACAATGGTGTTAAAAGATAACGGAAATTCGGCAACTACTAAGGCAAATATGACTGCATCCCTGCCTGTTGACAATGAATTAACTCGACAAGTAAAGAAATTTGTTGTAAGGCTTCCCCCAATTGGCCAAGCTTCATAAGGGGATGACCTACTAGGCCACCAAATGACTTGACCCTGCGTGGCAGGCGCTAGTTAGTTTTTTTGGTTAGTTTCTATAGGGTGCGCGAAGGGAAACTAGCCACACAAGTTATTAATAACAATTAGACTTATCAAGGTTCTTTTTTTGTGTGTAACCATTAAGGCCACACTGCTGAATGCCAATCTTAGAGTATCTTCACTCATCTAATCCGAGAAGTACGATGGTATTTTCGTCTTTATTGACTTTATTGAATTGAGACTGAACTGTTTTTATTCTTCAATTTGATTCACTGATGTAGCGATAAACTTTCAACAGAATAATTAAATTAGAAATTATTAATTTTCAACAGAATAATACTTAACTATTAATTGAGAATAAAACCATTAATTTTCAACGGAATAATTGAACTTGAAATACTTCGCTCGATCGCACTCGACGCTTTGTGATCTAAACGAACGCTTGGATGACTTGCCATCCAGTGAGCCGTTATTAAGTGATATATGACCACATTCTTCAAAGGTTATATTTCACGTACAATACCCGTATAATACAGGACATACCGTACTCATTTGATTTAACGCTCTCCTTCTAATAAGCTCCACCTCTCTAATTAGCAACTAATCACTACAGGTAACTGTAACACTTCATGTGGACTAACCCGGTATCGTTTATTCACCATATTTAATACATACTACACCTCAAACTTCATATCCTTTTAGCTCTTTATATGGAGAATTGATATCATCTTCTGGTCGTTTGAAAGGAAGTATAGCGTCATGTTTCGCTAAACTAAATAAACCACCCCTCTCAATTAAGACCCCTTCCCCCCCTCAAACGTGCTTCAAATAAATAGGCCACCGAGGGGGCTTAATAGTACCCTGGATGCCAGAGGTTTTTTTTGCTGTTGTTTGCGGCGAAAATTGAGCGGCGAAGCCGCTATCGTGACGAGCGGGAAAAAAAAAAACGCTCGTCACGATAGCGACTTCCCTGCTCAATTTTCGCCGCAAACAACAGGAAAAAAAAACCCTCTGGCACCTAGGGTAGCTTAATAGAGGATTTACGGTAATCTCTCAAATGCTGAAAAGTGTATGATAGTAGCTGTCAGCTTTCCCGGATGTTACTAAAACGAGGAACGTGGAGGGGGGAAGCGGGGAGCGGGGAACGGAGAGCGGGAAACAAGCACGGCGAACGGGGAAATGAAAAATGGGAACAAAACCGAGAATTGCTGGAACCATGGAGGTTACTGATAGGGCTAGGGTTCAAATTAGGTTTTGTTTCGGCCATTTTTCATTTTTTCGTTTCCCGTGCTGGCTCGCCGTTGTAGTAAATCCCAGCCGTCATCCAGGCTCAGTCACGTCTTTGATATACTCCGCTATGTTCACAAAGGCAGTAAACCCGCCCGATTTGTGTTTCCTGTGCATTGATTATAGAATTTGGTAACATTTATTTGATAATTTCTTGAGGCGTGAAGAGCCCAACATTTGACGAAATCGACTTTGTTTGAAGATCATAACAAAGTTCGTCTAGCAACTCAATGCAAGTTCCTTTAGCATATCGGCGGCAGCCTAATCACAAACTTCTTTATATGTGGTGAAACCTCTGCATCGACAGACGGAGTTTGAACGTTTGTTTTCTTTACAGTCTGGATTGCTGCCGCTATAGTAGCCTCGTGTTCTTTTAATAAAGTCATTTTAACCCCAGCCACGGGAGATGGTTGCCGTAGAAACACAACCGGTTGTTGTATGATAGCTTTAAACACGGAATTTCTGATGAATGAACTGTCCCTACAAGGAATCCAGCTGTCTTTGTAACTTGAT